TGAATTTGTTCTGGGGACAAGCATCTCTTAGATGTTCCATGACAAAACTTCTTCCCTGCCTTCTTGAATGTTGATGGGGTTCTTCGCTCTCTCACGTATTATTTGCATTTTTGTCTTTATACTAATGTGATCTTATCCTTACTACCTTAATGCAATTTGTTTTCACACTGTTTTCTGTGGGGTTACCCAGCTGTGAAGTGCAGGAGGAGTGGATGCACAATGATGCACAAAGATGCACAATGAGTGGATGCACAATAACTGATATAAGGTGTTACAGGAAATGGAGGCAGGGGGTTAGGAGGGGAAGGAGATTTGGGGAGTAAGTAATGAAGGTGTAAAGGGGGAGGGAGCATTGGAGCTGTTCGTGATTACACATCTCATTTTGGGGACAAATTAAGCATGGGGGGAGGGAATGCTCTAAGATGGATGTGGTGGTTATTGTATAATTCCCTCTTGATAGGTTTGAACAACTGAACTATTCAATTATATGATATGAGAATTATGTGTCAATAAAACTGTTAGAAATTTATATATGTGAGGGGGTGACTCCCCACAAAAAAACGGAAAAAAGTCCACTGGGAAGAGCCTTTGTAGTATGCATCCAGCCCACCCCTCCAGTGAGCATTGAGCAACTGGGTTTGAGTTAGTACACTCAGTGGCATCACCTGGGAATGTTCTGTCTGACCACAGTGAAGTTTTTCATGAAAGTAGTTTCAGCTCAAACCTCATTTTTTTGTGATGGCCAATGTAAGAGAACAGCACGGGGCAGTGAAATTTTGTTTCCTACTTGGGAAAAATGCCACAGAAACTAATTACTAGTGAGGAGACATGATGCTATTCTTATGACCCCGAAAGCAAACATCAATCAAGCCAGTAGAAGATGCCATTATCCTCTCATCTGAACAAAGCTGAAGTGAAATCAAAGTCAAAGATCAAGATGATGCTTATTTGTTTGTTTGTTTGTTTGTTTATATGAGGGGGATAGTGCATTTGCAGTTCATGTTACCAGGTCAGAGAGTTAATCAGGCTTTCTCTTTAGAGGTCCTGAGAAGATTGCCTAACAGTGTTCAACAAAAGAGGCCTGATTTTTGGCAGACAGGGCACTGGTTTTGCCACCATGACAATGTACCGGCTCACACACCCATCTCAATGCGCCAATTTTTGGCAAAAGACAGCTTGCCTCTCTTGTCCCATGCACCTTACTCACCTGACCTTGCTCCTAGAGACTTCTTTTTGTTTACTTGATTGAAGAGAGACATGAAAGGACAGTGATTTGATGACAGAAGAGGTGAAGGAAAATACAAGGGAGGGGCTTTTAGCCATCCCAACAAATGAGTTTGAAAAATGTTTCCAAGAACGGAATTTCAGATTTGACAAATGTATTAAGTGTCACGTAGAGTACTTTGAAGGTGCTAAAGTTGTTTTGTAAAAAAATTTTAAATACACAGCTTTGAAAAAAAATATTTTGGGGGTGCCCCCTCACATGTATCTATATATATGTATGCATGCATAAATGCATACATATACATATATATCTATATAATATATATTGAATTGGGGAAAAACCAGCAAGGGTTCTGAGGAGATTCATAGAGAATTGGCTCAGGAGGATCTCTGGAGAAAAGTTAGAGGGATATTTTGAATTATTCCACCCAGTGAAGCAAATGCTACAGGATAATATCCTGGCAAGGAGAAGATGAGGCGTTGGGTCACATCAGTCAGGGTCCCAGCAGGAATCAGATGTCATGCTCACAAGCGTTCGTGCAGAGACCTGAACAAAGGGATTCTTTACAGAGGTGGGCAGAACTACCGGCTTTCCCTGAAAGGAAGCCATCCCCCAAAACGAGACCTACTTATAATTTTGCCTCTCGCTGAAATATAAGGCATCCCCCCCAAAATAAGACCTCCCCGAAAATCACTGACAGTCGCATTGCAAATGCACTACGAGCGGGCTACCTTGACAAGAAGCACTCATTTAAGGACAGTGCTATTGCTAAACATGAGAGATTTGGTCCACTGATTCTGAAAGAATTGGAGTCACAAGAAATTCACCAGGAAATTCAGGGTTTAGATTGTTATGATGATGCTCCAGAAGATGATGACATGACTGTCATTGAATAAATGAGTAAATGTACCATAGATTGTTGTACATGGAAATAATGGTAGTAACAAGAAATTCTTTTTTTTTTCCTCAAGAAATTTTGATACTGTAGGATTCAGTTTGTCCGGTTATGCTGGTTTGTGATGACAACTACAACCGTACTGTATACAGGTAATACATTTCCTTTTTTTTGTTGTTCAACAATGAATGTGTACCATATTCTTCTTATTGGGAAAATAAGATATCCCCTGAAAATAAGACCTAGCGCATCTTTGGGAGCAAAAATTAATATAAGACACTGTCTTATTTTCGGGGAGAGAGGGTAGGAAAATCAACAACAGAAAGGGACCCACCCAGCGACTGGAAACAGTGGGAAGGTTCTAGGCTTGCAGGGGCAAGGGGAGGAGATGATGATTGAAAGAAAAGGAAGGCCAGTTACTTTCGAACGTTATCACTCCCAGAACTGCATGTGAAGAAGCAGTGACACACGAAGAGAGGCAAATGCCCAGGCTTCTCTTTCCTTCTAACCTCGAGTCTCTAAGTGGGTGTCACCCACTGACCAAGTCAAATGGGAAGCTGGGGGCAAAAGAGTCCACTCAATGTAGTCTATAGAAGCCAGCATCTCAGGGCACAGAGCAGAGTTAGAGAAAGGCAGAGAAGAGATTGTTCATGCATGTGTGTGTGTGTGTCCAGGGGGGCAAATGAAAATACCAAACGGAGAATGAGTACCTGCCAATCATACCCATAGCCTCCTGCTTAGTGAAGCTGAGGCAACACCCATCTGCACAGACTCCCTGTGATCCCAATCCTCTGGTCACAGCAGAATTGAAATCATAATACCAGCAACCAACTTGAGTGCATATCATGTGCCAAGCACTTTGTATTACTCGTCTCATTTAACTCTCATATCACAACGAACCTATGACTAACATACTATTTATGGCACTCATTTCATAGATGGAGAAACTGTGGTTCTCAGAGACTAAGTAATTTTCTCAATGTTACACAGCTAGTAAGTCAGGAACATGATTTGCAGCCAGGGAGGCAGGCTAGCTGTAGAATTGTCCTTTTACCCATTGCAGTCACCGCAGCAGGGATGGAGCACGCCTTCTTGTGGGCTGGCCAGCACCCTCATTGGCAATTCTAACTGCCTTACTGTGGTATTTTATACTGTAGACTGGCTGGCACAATCTAATATTCCCTCTAATAGGGATTGGGGTACAAGATAGAAAGAAAATCAGCCAACCATAAATCATGTGAAGCTAAGGGAAAAGGAAGGTAGTTCTCAGGGCAGGAGAGAAGATGAACTCCAGGGCTGAGGTTCATTGCCACTGTAGGGAGCTGTGGAGGGAACAACTTGTCAAGCTACTGACCAGACAACGGAGCCAATATAGGCCTTCTAGAACTACAAAGTTTCCTGAACAGGGCTGCAGTTGTCTCCTGTTCTTTCTTACTTTCCTGTGGTTCTTCTCGCCAACTCCTCATTACCCACCCGAGGGAGTCGGAACCTATTTCTTGAATTCGCACAGAGCACTGCACAGATGAGCGAATTATTTGACCACGTGAGGGCCTCTTGGGCAGAAACGGTTCACCAGCGTTTCTCCCCGCTCGCTGTTTTTCCTCTGAAAAGAAGGAGCGGAAAATTGACACACTGTAGCTTAAGTGGCACCTCGGGTCCCTGGTGGTGCACTGGTTAATGGACTTGATGATTATCCAAAAGGTTAGCGTTTTGAGCCCCCCCAATTCTCCTCTGGAGAAAGACGTGGTGATCTACTTCCGTAAAGATGTACAGTCTTAGGGACCTTGTGAGGGCTGTTCTATTCTGTCCTATAAAGCCCTTATGAGTTGGTGTGGGTCAGTCATCCTGGGGCTCTATTGTGATGGAGGCTGTGGAGGGAGGAAATTAAAAAACATCTCTTCGGGAGCACTTTAAAAATAGTCTTCTTGTCTGTCCAAATGTGGTTTCCATGAGAAGACATGAAAACCAATAGCTCCCAAATGGGCATCCACAGACTTGTGGCAGGTCTCTTATGAAGTTTTTGGTGTGTTCCCCAGAATGAGAGCAATAAGACACCGAGGTCTGTTTGTCTGCTCTCTCTTGGGCTGTTGCTGTTAGGTTGTTCAGTTGCTTACCACCATTTCTTAGGGCAGCTTATTTCCCATTTTTTGATGCTAAGGCCTCCTGTCCTTCTAGACAGTATCAGCTAATAGTGTTCCTCCCTCTTGGTTTTTTCTTTCTTGGAAATATTTTTTCTTGGAAAAATAAAAGGTTGGAAAGTACATTTGGGTCTCAATTTTTAATAAGTGTTATTTGTCTGAGAGACTGAGGGCCCAAACTATAAAACTGTAGGCCCAGAAGCCTCTTGAGGGTTCCGCTATGTCGAAGATGCCAGGTTTTCAAGTTGTCAGATTACAGTAAATCAAAAGGCATCGGAACAAAGAATGAGGTTCTTTTTTAACCTTCAGAAGATACAAGTTAATGTAGTCTAACCATCTTAGACATAAGAGATAATAAGTGGAGATACCAATAAGTTAGAATTTTGTAGTTTCTAAGTGGAAATGACAGTCTAAATGTCAGATCTAAAAAACGTGGCCCAAAGAATGCCACACCTAAGGTCGCAGTTAGAAGGCAACATTCAGCTCGGGGGACAGTTACCAGTCGGATATTGCGTGATTTCACTGGCATGCAGCCATCATGAAAAGGGAACTAAAATTGGTTCGAAGTGCAAATGTCTCTAGAAGGAATGCTAAACACACCCAGAGGGACGGATTTCATGCAAAATGCCTTCGATCCTTTACGTAGAGGAAACCCCATAATTATTCCAAATACAATTAATATGCAAGTAGTATTTTCTCTTTTGTGAACATAACACTGCTACAGAGAATTGGTTCAACATACCCAAAGCTTCGGCCAGGCCCCAAACCTTCTGTCCATAGATGTCGGTCTTGTTCCAAGCAAACGTGTAGACAAGATTAACTGCAGCAGGAAACCATTTCTGTGTGAGTCGCCCTTCCACAGCTACTGTGAGGTGTACTTTTATCATCCCTACAGGAATCGTTGAATGCGTCAGAAGGATCCGTAGCAAGGTTTTATACCCAGGGGTACGGCTGCTCAAATAACTCAGCCTCACAAAGCTGGAAGGAATGGGGATCTCCTCCTGGACCACCTAAAAGAAGAAAAGCCAAATGGGGTCTTAGCAATGATCACAAGCAGACAAGGAGACTAATGCATTTTTGTCTTGAAAACACATTTATAGGGATGTATGCATGTCAAAGCATTTATTCCCAAATCTGTGTAAGGTTGTGCACCATGGGTTCTGAATTTTGCTTCAATCTGGATGAGGACAAGAAACACAGTCAACTCTGATGATCGGTCTTCCCTTCCCCCCGATGGGACACACCAAAGGGACCAATTTTGCTTTTTCAGCAGTGTTTCCAAAATTGCTTAGGAGTTAGGAAAGATCACACTCCTAAATGTCAGGCAATTCAGTGCTATGGGCTCCGTTAGGGGCTCTATTTCATATACATACAAATCTTGTTTGGTGCTAAGTCATATATCACCCAACCATTCCTTGTTTAGGCTAGACTCTCAAAGAGAAGGATTCCACACGCAGGCCCAGGCAGCGATATTTTATGACGAAGATTATAGTTTCTCTAGAATGAATCTTTACTAATGCCATCAAACTTGTCTTCTTTGGAACTTTGGAATGACCCCAAGGGCCAAATCTTTAATCAAATTTCACTTTCATATTTCTCTATGCCTAGATGTACCAGTAGCTGGGAACACATTTCTCTACGTTGGCACTTATGGCAGGCAAGCAAATAACTCACCTGAACTCTTTTGCTAGGGAGCCTGGTGGTGTAGTGGTTACGCATTGAGCTGCTAACCAGAAAATCAACAGATCGAAACCACTAGCCACTCGATGGGAGAAACACTAGGCTTTCTACCCCAGTAAGGAGGTACAGTCTCAGAAACCCACAGTTCTACCCTGTCCTGGAGGGTCACGATGAGTTGGAATCAACCCAATAGCAGTGAGTTTTTGGGAACTCTTTAACAAATTTTGTGTGAAATCTTGATCTCAGTGTGAAACTAATTTAATTAATTGTTCATATCTACTTGGCTAGTATCACAGATGGAGTTGAACAAGAAATAGTGACCAAAGTGAAACCTTGTGTTCTGTGACTTTTGTCTTTTGAGGCATACGAAGGAAGAGCCCATCTTAATGAACACTTGAATTGTGCGGCTATTTTCATGCCCCCCACTCCATTTTAGTTCAGACTCTGGTCCCTTTCCTCTCCTCCAAACTAGTGCACACACTGAAGCGACTGTTAAACATGGGGTGTCTCTTATTGTCTCAGACTTCTGATCATTGTCCTATTTCTGAAGACATCAATTCCCCTTGTCTACTTTTTGTCCAGTTTTTCCTCTTGTACATTAGCTACTTGATACCAGAATTGCCCATCAGCTCCATCTTCTTAGATACTGGCAGAAAAACAATAGTGAATGGATGAGTGGCATTTAGCACTTTAGCATTTAAACTCTCTCAGAGAATATGCAATCCTAGATCATTTTGAAAATCTTTTGTGCTGAAAGAACACCCAGACTTACTAACGACATCTGTGAAGGATTGGTGTACCAGTTAAATGTACTCATTAGCTACTGTCTTGAGTTTTTGCCTTCCTATCTACAGAACAACAATGAAAATGACAGGAGGGACAATTTGAGCTCCTTGTCCTATGGAAACTTTTCTCAGGTGGTATCCTCTGACCACTTCTAATAGCTGACAGGGATGTACTGATAAAAGAAAAAAACAACAACTCTATTTTGGAGTGTCCATTTACCTCATTTTGAATATACTTCCTGAGTTTTGAACATGTAAAATGTATGAGTTCATTTCAGTGGCTTACACATTCAACTACCATTGCAATGTTTCTACAATGTGGTGAGGGAACTGCACTATGGCCATCTGAATGGCTTACTATAGAAAGGAAAACATTGAATGTTGAATTAAAAAAGGCATTCTAGAATCCCAAGGTCTAAAAACTTTAAAGCTTGAATACTCAGAAAGGAAATATGAAAAACAAAAAGAAAAAGCCTGAAATGACATTTTGTAGTTCACTTGAAAATTACAGTTACAAAACACAGTTTAACAAGGGACGTTTTCATCAGTTATATGAACGAAGACAGAGGATTCAAAGTAGACAACGGGAAAACTAGATTTTGTAAGAAGCTTTCATTGTAGAACCACAAAAGATCTAAGCTCATAGACTGTACTGTTATCAGAACAGAGTCAGCTAGCTTTGTTCTTTAGAGCATAGTGTTTATTTGGTCAAGCTCCCGGAGATTAACTCTCAGAACAGCTAGTTAATCTTGCTCTGTTCCATACTCTGGTGATATGTGTACCAAAGTGATTACACTTGAAATCTTTTCTTGACAAGTGAAGGGCAGTACATTGTAAGGCTGGCTAAGGCAACAGGAAAAAGTATCCAGCTACTCTGTAATGGTGACTACCTTCTGATACTACAATTATATGTATTCTAAGGCCAATGTACCCACCTGGAGCTCTGGAACAATAGTTCCCCTCTCTGGACAGGATCCTCCAAATGAAGTGAGTGGCGAAGGAAGCACGATTGGGTTTGGGCTGATAAAGTTGGAGATATCACAGGATGGTGGGTCTGATACAACTCTTTGCATAGTTACTTTCTCCACCACAATAAACTGATTCCAAGGCAACCACAGGGTCCTCTTCTCAGATAGGAAAGGTGATCGGTCAAAGATTAAGATGACAGAGATCCCACCAACTGCTACAAGGTCAAAGCTGAGGAAAGAAAAAAATAGAAGATGGTTTCATCCAATGAGCAATCAAAATCGAATTAATGTCTTAAAAACAGATTGAACTTGATGTTTTTTCTTTCTTTGGGGAAACAACTATACCCGTCTGCACTCTCTATTTTGTAAGTGCCCTTTTGCTAAATATTTATTCAATGGATGACTTCTTTTCACTCTCTAGGAAACTTCTGAGAGTAATTTCCACATCATAAACTAATTTTAATACTACCCTAAATGAAAGCACTACATGCATTTCTCCAAAGCCTAATCTGACAACATCACTCCACCTTCAGGTAGTAGAGTTAACAGAAAGATAACCATTCAATATTCAGCAGCATCTTTAATATATAATGCATTATTCATCCTCAGCAATTCTTATAATGTAACATATGAAAAGTGAGAATCCAAAAGGTTAAATATCCTGTTCAGGGTCACAAACATAATGTCAGAAACTAGAGGATGTCCTCAAGATCACATTTGAAGGAAGACACCAGTAGAGGTAAACTGTTCAGTGAAATTTGCCTGAAGTATAATTTTCCTGAGCCCTTCACAAAGGGAAGCTGTTGGCTTTCTATTCTAAATGGATTCTAGATTTCGAATCTGTGATTCACTCTACAAAATGCCTTTTGCTTTCCTACTCTAAGACAGCCTGTAATGGGTTCTGCCCATCTCCACCAATAATGCCTTCTGTATCTGAAAAAGCAAGGCTATCTCTCCTGAAAGCAACCTTGGCTCATTTCTAGATGTAGTCTCAGACACATCGATTTCATTGGACCATAACAAACTCAGATTTCAGTCCATTTGACACTAGATTATTCTCCTTTCTCTTTTAAGTATAATGATGTCTTTGGGATAATGTATTTAAAAGCAGTCAGAAAGCATGAAATTCCATATAAAAATAAGAATGGTGAATTATTATCATTACAGCTTAAAGATGGATAAAGGCCAATATGATGCTCCTTTAGTATTCAAAGCAACTTAAATCCACAGGAGAGAAAGGTAACCAATTCCTTACATTACAAAAGATCTTTTTGTAAAACACTTTTTTTTCCTTCAATTTTTAAAAAGCCCTGATAGGACATTCGACTTAATTATGGACATTTCACCACTACCTTCATGTGACATGTATCATATGTCTTGTAGTGTTACCAATTGCATCTTGTAGAAATCTTCCAGATGAGATAAATGGATGATTAACAAAGGATGGCTAATAATGTAGTTTTTTTCTACTGTTGGTTTTTCAGTTAAGTAGTTAAAATAATAAAGGCAGTTCCCAAAAAGAGCATTTGAAGGACCGTTATAGGAAATAATCAGGGTTTCAACTAAAAAAAAGATACCCAAATGGCTTATGTTTTAAGACACAGAAGCTGAACTCATGATAACGCAGAAGGGGATAAAGGTAAGTGTAGTGGGGAACATCCTAAACTACCTGTCCAGAAACCGTTCACGTTCAATGGTATTTAACTTTGCGTTCTTGGGATTGTTTATTTGCTTCACCCAAAGCTCACCTCAAAACTAAAGTGGATATTTATTTGAAAAGAAAAACAAAATCAACCATCCAAACCAGAACATATGCACCCAGAACATTTTCTCTGCCTCTAAAAAGATTCAGCAAAAGGGCTGCCATTTTTGTTTGGTAGAAAGAATGTGGGCTTTAGCATCATACATATCTGAGTTTGAATCCTAATTATGACATGTTAAATCTGTGTCTTGGGGCTACATATTTAGCCTCCAGTAGCTTCAGTTTCTTCATGAATAATACTCACTGCCATTGATGCTGACTCTTAGCGACCCTATGGGACAGAGTAGAACTGGCTCTGTGAGGTTCTGAGACAGTAAATCTTTATAGGAGTAGAAAGACCTGCTTTCTCCCACAGAGCAGCTGGTAGCTTTGAACTGCTGACCTTGTGGATCACAGCGTAACTCATAACCATGACGCACCGGTGCCCTTCATGAATAATACAGGCTCAAATTATTTAGCTATTATTATAATGAGATAAAGATTTAAAACGCACTCATATATAGGGGCTCTTCTTCTCTTGTGACCCCATGAGGGAAAGACTTGGTGATCTGCTCCCATAAAGATTAAACTCAAAAGCCAAACTCATTGTCACTGAGTCCATTCTGTCTCATAGCCATCCTATAAAGATTACAGCCTAGAAAACCCTATAGAGCAGGTCTATTTTCTCAAATGGTATTGCTGTGAATTGTAGTGGATTTAAATCCACTTATCAACAACAATTCAAATTAACTAGGATGGCTTTTCTTTACTTCTGTGTGCAGATACGGTTTTAAGTTCTCCCAAGGACTTCCACTGAGCTTCCAGTGATGTTGTGGTTCTTGTTAGGTGCCATCGAGTCGGCTCCGACCCATAGAGACCCCATGCACTACAGAATAAAACACCACACGGTCCTGTGCCATCCTCACAATTGTTCCAATGGATGAGCCCATTGATGTAGCCACTGTGTCAGAGAATGTTCTTTCCTGACAACATGTCCAAAGTATGTAAGATGAAATCTTGCCACCCTTGTCTCTAAGGAACACTCTGGCCTTCTTCCAGCACAGATCGGTTTGTCCTTTTAGCAGTCCATGGTACTTTCAATGTTCTTCTCCAACACCACCATTCAACTGCATTGGTTCTTTTGTGGTCTTCCTTATTCAATGTCCAACTTTCACTTGTATATGAGGCAACAGAGAATACCATAGCTTGGGGCAGGCGCACTTTATTCCTCAAAGTAACATCCTTTCTTTTCAATACATTAAAGAGGTCTTGCACAACAGATTTACCTAATGCAATATATCTTTTGATCTCTTGACTGCTGCTTCCATGAACATTGATTGATGGTGAGTTTTATGTGTCGACTTGGCTAAGCTATCACACTCAGTTATTCATTCAAACACTAACTTAGTGCTGTTACGAAGGAATTATAGAGTTGGGGTTGACTTTAAGAAACAGAGTTTTTCCTTAATGACATGGGGGAGCCTCATGTCATCAGTTGGAAAGGCCTTAAGAGCAAAACAGCTTTTCTTTAGGAAGAAGAAATGCTTCCTCAAGGCTGTAGCTTCAGCTCCTGCCTGAGAGTTTCCAGTCTGACAGTCGGCTCTATGAAGTTTGGGCTTGTTAGACCTTACACTCACATAAGCCAGTTCCTTCTGCCTGGTGGAGTCCTCACGGATGCATATGGAGTGACCCCAAATCCATGAAAGTCATTCCAAATGACAAATAGCATTGCTCTCTGAATGATGAAGCCTTTGGGGTTTCTTCTACCACATACCACACACATTGGGATGGGTCATTAGGAACCGGTTATAAAGTCATCTGCTAATGTGCATAAACAGGTTCAAGGGAGAGGACATTTTTATTTGGAGACTATTGTTACAACACTATAGGTCACATCAGTCCTGTCCATCGATGGAAGACCCTGCCTTCATGGTATCCACAAATGAATAAACTCTTGCCTAGAGGAGAATTGGAAGGATGACTGGCTTTATCTTGAAAAGTCATTAGAACAAAACTCTTGAGGCCTTTAATGCTTCCCAAGAACCTTCGGAGGTAATTATTGCTTTGTTGATTTTATATATCACCAGGTGAACAATTTATATATAGTTCTCTTCCAACTGCACACTTGTTAAATAGCTAAATTGAAGATGGCAAATGATAGAGGACTAAGTGCCAGATTACTGAGCTTGACAACTTGCATGGCGTAGTGGTTCCACTTTGGGCTTTTAACTACAAAGTCAGCAGTTCGAACCACCAGCAGCTCCATAGGAGAAAGATGAGGCTTTCTACTCCCATAAAGTATTACAGTCTTGGAAATCCATAGGAGCAATATTCTATGCTGTCTTATAGGGTTGCTATCAGTCAGAATCAGCTCAATGGCAGTGTTTGGGTTTTGGTTCTGGACTAATTACCCGTGTTAATTTGAATGCATTAGTTAGATTTGGGGCCTGAAAATTTCCATCTGCTGACTATGAATAATGACACTAATATCTACCTCATGGATTTGTTGCGTGGATGAAAAAGAATAATATTTATGAAAGTTCCAGGCATATTATAGATACTCACAAATATTTGTTTTTTCACAAGCATTGCCCTTTCCCACTCTTCTGTTTCTTGGACTCCTCTCTATGTTAATATCTAATCATTTTTACACTTTTAGGCGGCCCAGACTTCCTGTGCTTTGTATATAGCACTTTCTGCTTTGTATTTATCACTTTGGTCCCATGACCTAGACCTTTCCTGGTCCTGGAGCAAATCTATCAGTTACTTTGCACAAGTGCATGATAATGAGGATAGTTCTATATCCCACACAAAATATTTGCATTTAATAGTGACTTTGGAATATTCTGTAGCTTGACCCAAATCAGTGATCCCTATGGTGGGAAGTTACAGGCACTAAGATGGATGGGATTGAGATTGGGCGCCAGAGGACCCTTTGAGCATCTCTCATATCATATGGTCTACTCAATAACTAAATGTCCATATCAGCCTTTCTACAGCCCCATTGCCCTCAGGTAAAGTTTCTTTATGATTTTCTACTTTTGAAATGTACTTACTCAATCTGAGATAGCAACAAGCAGAGACATATAAATGGAAACTCTCCTCACACTGTCACTTTATGCCCAAGAGATGACAGTAGGATACAGTCTGGTTGACATTTGGGCCACGTATTTCGAATGCTTACACCCTTTGTGGAGCCTGAGGGGACAGTTATTGCCAGAGGGAACTCTGGCTAGTATCTGTCATCTACACAAACCTGGTTCTCACAGTGAGCTCTGCAGAGGAAGGTCTTGGAATTTTATTTAAAGCTACAAATACACAAAATAACAACAAAAATGTCCCTCTTTAATGCTTTCTGGAAACAGAAATTTTTCGACTTTGTAGACCTTAAAATCCTTTGAGATTCTTTTGTTAATAACAAATAGTTCACGGAAACCTTTGTATGCAGGCTGAAAAAAAAGCAAAAGAGCGTGTATTGGTTCTCCATAGAAAGTCAAATGCCCTGGGGGTTGGGAGATGGGGCAGGGAGGGACAATCCATGGAAAGAAATAGTCATTTCTCAATTTCTGGAACAGGGCTGAAGATGCTGGACAAGGGAGAGGCTAGTTTTGTACAGGTCACTGGAGAGTGAAGTACCAACATTCCATTGTTTGATCTAATTGAATTAGCAGGAAGTTCCCATTACAGACCATTTGAAGGAAAAAGTAGTCTTTATTTTTCTCACATCTGAGCTGTGCAGACTCCCTGCTAACAAGGTAGTTCTGTTAAGCTTGTCAGAATGAATTGATGGCTAGTTAGTAGTAATTAACGATATAATTTACATATAGACAATTCATATGACTTACTGAAGTCCTTAAAAAGTTGCTTTCTGAAAGGAGGTTCATACCCTTCCTTATTATCTTTTACAACTCTTTGTGGAAAGCATGTTCTTGACAGGCATAGCCTAATTTGAACGATTATTAATTCTGAAGTGGTAAAGGTTGACTAGGTTCTTGAAAGGAGATAGTATCTCACTTGGTGATAAAGTTCTGACCCAACACGTTTCTTGATGATACTAGTGATGTGGCTTATTATGAGTCAGATGTTTTAAGGCTAACCACCCCTGGACCAGGGCACCTCAAAGACATTATTACAGTGCTCCTGGGAGCCATAAATAGGTTCCTTTAGGCTAGACACATGTGCCTGTTGCCTCAAATATTCTGAGAAAATGTCTTTCGAAATGATAGTAAAAACAATGTTTTTGTGAGCAAAACTTTCTGCAAGACGAAAAGATTATATTTAGTGCTTTCACATCCCAGGGCTCAGAAAACCTTGAGAAGTCGTTGAGGAGCAGCATGGCTGGTGCTTATGGTTAAATTACCAATTCCTTTTGTCAAGAGCTTCCCTAGTTAGATTGGCTATGCTTTCAAATTGTAGTCACTAGTCACATAGACAGACTAGGGAGGACACGAGGCTTTACTGAACCCAGTTAATGGGGTTGACTTCTTTACATTTGGAAGGAGCCCTTTGGAAATCGTCATTTCTGAAATATTTGGGGGCTATCATGGAAGAATGGCGTAACAGCTCAATGGCCCCTGGTTTATTATCTTCGTCATCTCACAGAATTCAGAAACTAGCTTTATAACTGGAATTAGGCAAAGGATAGAAAACTGTCCACGTGGCCAGGGTTTAAAGGTGCCTTGAGAGTAATGGTGAGAGTTTAGCAGAGTGATTTGGTTTGAATGAGATGGGGGAAGAGAGAAAATAATTAGCGCCTGTGAGTTATCTACTCAGCAGATGCAGCTGGAAGTAAGACAGGCTTACCATCACTGTAGCATTTGAGCTCTGTTTTACCGCTGGTAGAAGTCGATGATCAGAAGCACTTTCCACCTACCTTCCATCTTGTCGGCTGATGGTAAACCCATAATCACTGTGGTGCAAGAAGCTAACATTCACTCCCACAAGAGGGGTTCCATCTATAGCCACCACTTGGCCTCGAATCACACAGGCACGCCTGCAACATAAGACCAAAGGCAAATAAATATACTTAAAAAACAAACCCTGTTGAAACTAGATTCTAGAAAGAAATTGCAGAAATTCTGGAAAATATAGTCAAGTATAATAAGGAAAAACCATAACTTCACAACCAGTGGTCGCTGTTAGGTGCTGTTGAGTTGATTCTGACTCATGCCCCAAAGTACAACAGAATGAAACACTACCCCGTTCCAGAGCTGGCCTCACAACTGCTGATAGGTTGGAGCCCAGGTGTTAATCCATTTCGTTGAGGGGCTTCCGCTTTTTCACCGACCCTTTACTTTACCAAACATGATGTCCTTCTCCAAGGATTGGTCCCTCTGGATGACACGTAGGTGAAACTAGGTTGCACCCTCCTCACTTGTAAGGAACAATTTGGTTGTACTTCTTCAAAACAGATTGGTTCATTCTGGCAGTATATGGGACTTTCTATATTCTTCCTCAATATCAACCAGTAATGATTAATAATAGCATTAGGGAGGATGTATGTGTCTTTTTTACTCATCAAAATTAAGATCAAACATGAGATAGCTCTGCATTCTGCTATTTTAAGTTACCACTGTGTTAGTGTCCAATCTAATTTGCAATTTCTTAAGGTTTTATTTAATTGTATTAATCGTGTCTTAATATAATAGTCCACAACGTGTTTAACCCATCCCTTATTTCAGATATTTACGTGCATCAGATTTTATCTTGCATTGACCACTTCCCTTACAATTCTACCCTTTCCCCCAAATGTTATCACCAATATCAGTTTGCTGTGCACGTTCTCTATGCACTTACAGACATGGATCTGACCATTTTTAAGGCTTTTAATACATGTTGCCAAAATGCCTTTTCTGGAAAAATAACAACAACAAAACAAAACAAAACCAACATAGTTGAGTGAATTGTAAGAATTAAAGTCTGCAAAAGAAACATAATTAATACCTGACTATGGTTCCCTCTTCTTTTTGTTTAACTTAAATAAAATATTTCAGGGCATTTTCTTTTTAAACAAATGAATCTTATCCTCTCTCAAGAAAATAGTGTCACTAAACAAGTGAGAGCTCACCCTCTACATAAGGCCAGAGTCCACTAAAATGCATATACTTTCAGTGCTGGACTGAATAACAGAATATTTTAATTAAAAAAAAATAAGCGGTGGGGGAAGAGAGTAGAACTAAGAAAAAAATGAAAAAGAAAAAGAGGAAAAGAGAGCTCAGGTTTTATAAAGTTCACCTTCGGAGGTCTGCTAATCCATCTTGTTGAGGGTCTTCCTCTTTTTCACTGCCCCTCTACCAAACATGATGTCCTTCTCCAGGGACTGGTCTCTCCTAACAACATGTCCAAAGTATGTAAGACAAAGTCTCACCATCCTCGCCTCTAAGGAGCCCTAGTTCTTCCAACACAGATCAGTTTGTCCTTGTAGCAGTCCTTGGTACTTTCAATATTCTTCTCCAGCACCACAATTCAAATGAATAAACTGTTCTTCAGTCTTCCTTATCCAATGCCCAACTTCCACATGCATATGATGCAATGAAGAATTCCAGGGCTGGTGGGCAGCCCGTTCCTTACTCCTTGCTCTTCAACGCTCTAAAGGGGTCTTTTGTAGCAGTTTTACCCAAAGCAATATGTCTTTTGTTCTCTTGACTACTGTTTCCATGAAACACGATTGTGGATCTAGGCAAGATGAAATGCGGGACAACTTTAACTTTTTTCTCCACTTATCAGGATGTTACTTATTGGTCCAGCTGTGAGGATTTTGGTTCCTACTGGTAAGGCAATTCTACACCCAGTCATTTTAATTGTTACCATTAATCTAGATATTGTGTCTTTCCGCAGCTATACTAGGCTCCATCACTTTGTTTTTCTTTTTCAGAACTGGTTGGTCTTCTTTTCTATTATTGTATGACAAACATAGGCCTACTTCTTTTCTTTGCTGCTTATATTTGTGAAGAAGCCAGACCGATCAGCTAACGTCTCATCAAAGTCAGCATTATTCTGTACATACCCCTTGTTTTCCCCTCTTCCTTCTGTATCTCATGCAAAGCAGACTAGTCTTTGGACTCTTCTGCTCTTTAATATTTCCCATATTTTATGAAGCATGCAGATGTGTGTGATAACGACTCATCAAAGTCATCATTATTCGAGACACTGTCTGTTCTTCTCATTCATTTCCCTCTTCATCATTCATAAATAATGTGCACAGACTTGTCTTTTAACTCCCTATGTTTTTTATTCCTCATATTTTATGATCCCCCCCAGCATACAGCATGTGATAAAGCCCCATCAAACTTATTATTCTACATTTATCAATATTGAACTCTCTTTGTAATGTATTACACCTTAAATGTCCTAAGAGTCCCTATATCTTACCACATTTGTTCCCATTATTTACACACTTTATGCCATCTACTTTTCACAAGAATAATTCTGAGCTCCTTTTTTTCTCCTGGATTACTATTACTTATTGTAATCTTTGATCAACATCAGTCATTTTGGGTCAGTATACATTACCTAAATTTTGAGACAATGCAGGAAGGCTTGAAGCACTTTCTGATGTAGATCAGGGGTTGTAGCCTTCAATAAACATGTAGTCCCTGACTCCATTGTAAATAGATTTCGATGTAAGCTAAATACTATATATATAATTACCTTTTATTTTCAGTCTTACTAAAGTTGGTGTATTTGGTTGCACATTGGGCTGTGATCCACAGGGCTGGCAGTCCGAAACCACTAGGTCCTCTGCTGGAGAAAGACTGGACTTTCTACTCCTGTAAGTTACAGCTGTGGGAACCCACAGGGGGTCACTATGAGTCAGCACTGACTCGATGGTAGTGAGTTTGGTTTTGGTTTTGCTTCTGATTATGTTTCTCATATTTAAGGCAGCATATATAATTCCTCTTTTTCCATGGCTTCCAAAAAGAAAAAATATCCAAAGCTCACTGACATCTAATTGATGCCAACTCATAGCGACCACCAGTGGGTTTCCCAGCTGTTATTGTTGAGGTGTATAGAAATCCCCTTCTTTCTCCCTCTGAGTGGCTGGTGGTTTTAAACTGGTGACCTTGAGGATTGCAGCCCAATGCCTAACCTCTCTATCATGATGGTTAGGTCCTTACTATTAGGCATCTTCCCATTTCTTCTTCCAGAGCATCCTGCGGTGTTCTCAAAGCACCTCTTCAATTGGCCTGTGTGTGGCCAGTCTCCAGGAAACATTTTGAGCACTTAACTCTATTTGCTACATCAGAACTACTCCCATCTTAAGTCCTAATTTTTCAAGGACTTTCCCTCTTTTGAAATCTATCTAATTAAAAAAAACACACCGTCTTAAATAAACTCAGTGGAGTCACATTTGGAGCCCTTGAAGAGTACTGCAGATGCTGACAAGGAGTTGATGGAGATAGTCTGGCTGATGGAATTCTTTTGCACTGTTCCATCAGATGCTAGAAGCCATCTTCTGAACTGTCATGAAATTAGCCCCTGTACATCTGCATAGCACCTAAGTGCCCACTGTTGATTTTGTGTGTGTGTGTGTGTGTGTGTGTGTGTGTGTGTGTACATAGTGGCAATGGCAGGCATTGTATGTTTTGAGGTTTGGCTTGGGACCCTCTTCTGATACACAGAATTTGAATCCTGAAATGTAAAACCAAAAAGTTACTGCTGCCAAGTCGATGCCAACTCATAGCTTCTCTATAGCACAGGGTAAACTTCCCCTGAGGGGTTCCAAGACTGTTACTCTTTGTAGGAGTAGATAGCCTCATCTTTCTCCTGCAGAACTTCTAATGGTTTTGAACTGCTTACCTTGTGGTTATCAGCCAAACACGTAACCCCTATACCATCAGGGCTCCTTTCTGAAACACAAGGGGTCTTCAGAAAGTTTGTTGGAAAGGAATGGAGTGAAAAGAAAATGGAATTTTTCCAAGAACTCTGAACCCACCTTGTATTTGTCCTGTAATGGATGGCACATATGGTTATCTTGAACTTCTTTTTTTTTTTAGAATTGCACTGTATTGCTTATTGTTATTATGCCATCGGGTCGGTTCCAACTCATAGCAACCTGATGCACAGCACAACAATGTATTGCATTGTTTATAAAGTAAAGATTCTATCTAAGATGTCAAAAACACATCGCTGGTGAGTTGATCGTGACTCCTAGTGACCCTAGAGGAAAGAGTAGAATTGTGCCCAGAGGGCCTCCATGGCTGTGTCTTCATTTTTATTTTTTAAGGTCATCTTATTGGGGGGCTCTTCCAACTCTTGTTTTAATCTATACATCAACTGTATCATACATAGTAGTACATATATTGCCATCATTCTTTTCTAGACATTTACTTTCTGTTGAACCCTTGGGATCAGCTCCTCTCCCACCCCCCATGGC